TGAAGTTAGAAGCAAATTGGGATTTTCTCTTCAACATGTTCAACGAAGAAGAGGGAATTGCAGCTTGGTGGTGGAGGCAAGAGTAACTGGTCCAATAACAAACCTGGTTGCTTGGGAGGTAAACTCCAGTGGAGATTAAAGGCTGAAAAGATCAATTTTTATAGTTGCATCTGTGACAGTTAAGAATGGATTGATGCTTTTACTGGGCTTTTTCCTTTGTGTACTGTTAAGACTATGTTGTGGTTTAACTGCAGCTGGCAACTCAGTACCACAAAGCTGCTTGCTCATTCCCCCCTGGTGGGATGGGGGAGAGAATCAGAAGGGTAAAAGTGAGAAAACTTGTGGGTTGAGATAAAGACAGTTTAATAGGTAAAACAAAAGCCGTGCACACAAGCAAAGCAAAAGACAAATTCATTCAGCACTTCCTGTTGGCAGGCAGGTGTTCAGCCATCTCCAGGAGAGCAGGGCTCCATCATGCATAACGGTTACTCGGGGAGACAAACGCCATAGCTCTGAACATCCACCCCTTCCTTCTTCTTCCTCTCCCAGCTTTGTAGGCCAAGCACGACGTCCTATGGTATGGAATATCCCTTTGTTCAGCTGGGGTCAGCTGTCCCAGCTGTGTCCCCTCCCAAATTCTTGTGCACCCTCAGCCTCCTCTCTGGTGGGGTGGTGTGAGAAGCAGAAAAGGCCTTGGCTCTATGTAAGCACTGCTCAGCAATAACAAAAACATCCCTATGTTATCGTGTTTTCAGCACAAATCCAAAACTTAGCCCCATACTAGCTACTGTGAAGAAATTAACTCTATCCGAGCCAAAACCAGCACAGACTAGCTTAAGAGACTCATTGTCTAGCAAGTATTGTCCTCAAGGGATAATCTCCAATCCTATTGTAATGATGTCAGCTATTGGCAAACTGTACTTGAAGGAGAAACTAGCTTCTTCTCATCTCATTTGTATCCTATGTAATTATTCTGGTTATTCTCGATTCACATCTGTGCCTGTGGGAAGAGAATCAGTCAGCTGATTGAGGCTTTTTTTGGTTCATGCTGGAGTTTAAGATCCTTCCTTTGTTCCTAACTTCATCCACTCATTTAAATGAGATACGCACATTTTCTAGTCCGGATACAGGCTTTCTTAAATGTGAAATTCAAAATGAATTGAAAAGTGAAAAGGGACAACTCCATGAAATAATACAAGGTCCTGATGTAGTCCATTCAAAGCATTATATGTATTGAATGAACCACGCTAAAACCAGATCAGTTTAAAAGAACAGACTATTTACTTTAATTAACAATAAAAACTAGTTATCTTCAGAACTGAGTAGCTTTATTTGGCTTATTCATTACACAAAAATTGGATATATTTAGATGTGATTTAGAAGTGAGACAGTATAAATTTAGGGCAATGAAAAAGGGGAGTCCTTATTTCCAAACTGTGCATACTGTGCAAACAGTATGATTACAGTCCATATTATTTTTGAAGCACAGAAATACCCTGAAGTCTTTAACTGACCTGACCTTTGATCAGTCATTTTCAGATGGGCTTTTTTCCATTCAAAAAAGGGAATATCACAAACTAAACCCCAAAATAACCAAGTTATAAACAGCTGGCCTGTCTGATTCATAGGACATTCAAACCTGTCATGTTCAGTTCATAGGACATTCAGTCTCTTTATATGGTAACCAGTGCTCTGAGCTTCTCAGCAGTTAAACATGAGAAGCCTATGGTGTTGTGCTACTCATTCAGTATGTCAAATATAGTTTTTCTAACACCTGTATCACCTTTCTCCAGAAAGACACCATTATTTTTCTCATGTGTTACTAATTTTATTTCTGACAATGATTTTATTTTTCTTAATTATTTTTATTGGAGTATTTT